ACACACACACACACACAACCTACAAAATCTCTATAATTATTTTTTTCTTTTGGTTTAAAACTCTCCATCAGAGTATCTGCAAGAATATACATTTTTTATTAAAGGTGGATTTTATTCTTCTCTATAACAGTTCTCTATCTGAACAGCCGAATATTCTCATCCTGTGTATTAAAGGCTACAGGGCAGCAGTGTATTTGTTTTGTCTGTAATATATGAGACGACATTTTATGGGTTTCTTAAACAGAAACAGCTTCGCTTAACAGAAAAGATAAGTACTTGTTATAGTTTTAGTCTGTTGTTTGAATTTCGATCATAGCCATTAAATTTGTTTCCGTCTTTCTATAGAAACTGAATATATACATGTGTTTGATGTTGATAAATATGAACATTCTGCAGTGATGAGTGTTTTCAGAAAAATAAAAAAAATGGTTTCAAGTTTATTCATAAAGCACATTTAAACAGCTTAAACTGACCAAGGGGCTGCACGAAAGAACATTAAAATAGACAATAAAACAGTAAAAACCCAAAGAAAAAACATACCAGTGATAACAATAAACGATAAGGGACAAAATACAGAATTATTGATATGACAACCGACTGACCGGTTAAAATATATATATGACTGAAATAACAATCCATACTGTACGACTTTATCTGTCCAATAAACTGGAATATAAGTAGACTCCTTGTGGAGTGAAATAAATGGTGTGCATGGGATCTTTTCTGCAGTATTTATGTATTCTTTAATATAAGCTGAGGTCTGAGACACAAAGCAGAGATGTGGAAATCGTATCTACTCAGTGGGATGGGAGGATGTCATCGTAAATTCTGATTATTAACCCATAGGTTTCGGTCTAAAACGACCAAAGTGCAAAGGTAAATTGAGCTTTAATATTAGCTGCACTGCCTGCTGCTCCTCTCAGCTGTGAGCCCGCTCGGCTCTGTAGGAGCATTTCTCTGGAAGAGAAAAAGAGAGAGCTTTCCTGGATGGCGACGAGTTGATGTATAGTACTGAGCATCTGGAGGCAAATAAAGACAGAAACATCTCGCACTGTGCACCAGAGAGAGGATACTGCAGAGACCAGATAGGTGTGTGCACATGTGACATCCCGAACAAAGGCTGTGCGGTTGCTTTTTGACTGGATGAGCAATTTTAATATCAGCACAGCTTATTTAAACAGCTGCTGCTTCCTAGTTTACTCCCGAGAGCGCGAAATGACAACATGATGTTGAAAAATGCAGACGTGGATCTAGTTCTCTTTCATATCCGCTCCCTTTTCAAACTGTCAGAAATAAGACCGTTTAATAATTGAGTTCATTACTTTTTAGACGTTTTATGTATTCCACTGAAGTCTGATTGGAAGCAGTCGCTAATATTAATACTAATAATACTAATAATAATTATAATAATAATAATAGTGAAAGTAACACAATAATTGTTAACCTTGATATAATATATTGATATTTAGCTTTATATTTGTAATTATAAATATATGTAATTATAAATGCTTTACTGCATCCAGAAAATAAGCAAAATCATTAAAACACAAAAGTGTCTACCAATATTATATGTATATTATTTCTTACTTTACCATTTTAATTCTCACATTGACTCGTTTCGGCTGTATTACTTCAAGAGTCTGTGTGCTGTGTGTATTTGTGCTTTATGCGCGTCCAACGAATAAACTAAATGTCTTAAATGTTCCGTACTATTAAAAATGTCCAGTCACAGTAGTATATTGGAGTATACAAAACCTTACACAATACGTTAGTAATTTAGGCTGCATTACATTACTGCAACTTAATATTATATTATAAAATACTACTACTACTACTATTACTACTACTACTACTACTAATAATAAATATATTGTTATTATTATTATTATTATTATTATTAGTAGTAGTAGTAGTAGTAGTAGTATAGGTTATTTGATCTTATTATATATTTACTTTCTTACCGTGTGTGTGTGTGTGTGTGTGTGTGTGTGTATGTGTATCAAGCTCTGGAAACAGAGATATTAATCAATTATCGATCCAATGCTAACGCAGCTAACTGTCCCTAATTGTAGAGATTTCATAATTAATTTAAATGTTGTCATATCTTAGGCCTACGTTTTTTTTTAGTATAATCACTACATTGTTTTTCTACTTTTTAAAATACGACCATCATTTTCAACATTAGTAATAAAAGATATATAATCTATAATGTATCACAATGTGACGGCTATCTGTCTCCCTTCCATCCTCTCCAGATGAGCCCGGTAGAAGGCGCCCGGGCCCAGCGGCGGACTGCCCGGCCGTCGGCGCTCGATTGTCGGCCCGAGCCGACAGGAAGGAGCGCTGTCCTTACAGCAAGCAGCAGACCCTGGAGCTGTTGAAGCCTGTACCTGAGCCGACAGCGCCGCCTGGAGACCAGCAGGAGCGTCGACCTGAGCGAACTGCAGGTAGAGAACCGGAGGATGAGGATGAGGAAGCAGCATGCGCGCTAACCGGAGCAGCGAGACCCTCACCTCAGCACCCGATGGACTGATGGAGGAGAGGACCTTCCGGCTCGGACTGCATCGCGCTGGAAAACACAGAGAGGATGAGGAAGACGAGGGTGTGTGTTGCGATTAACTGAACGTGTAATGTCAGCCCTTTGTAGCTGCAGCTTTACACACAGGGCTCGAGGTACAGCGCCGGCCGGCTGGCATCACATCAGTCAGTTTAACAAATATGTTACCACCTAAACTTCTTATATCCGCCCTGGTGTTATTTCTAGTTGAGGACAAAGTGGAGTGAGGACAGTTTAACGGGACATCATTGTGATAGATTATCATGGGAATCAGAATATGAGCGTCTGGAGATCCTGGCTGCAGCTGACAATCTAGTATGAAGATAAAAACTAACATCTAATGTGGACTGTTGCGGCCCCATGGAGGATTCAAGTCCGAGCCAACGAACCGCACACAGACATGAATGGAGGAGGAGACGGCCTCAGAGGAGAGTGTAGGCTGGATATATTGGGGGGGTGGGACATTGTCTTGTTGTTTTGACGGCTTTTCTCTCTCTCATTTTCTCATGTTCCAGCGCCTCTATCCACCTTCTTTCCAAATATAAATCTGAAGTCTTTACATTTTATTTTACTTTCCCATCCAGGCAACTTGGACTCAGTCAGCCTTTCTTCATCTAATGGTGAGTGCGTGTTTTTTTTCTGTGCATAATGGCAGGAGGTTGTTGAGTAAAAGGCCACAGATTGTTTACAGCTGGGATGACTGTTGATGCGTAGTGATCGCTTTATTTATTATTCATTCATTCGACTGAAGGATGTGAGGGAACCATGGCTGCAGCCAGGGTTTTAGAAATACTGAGGTCACCATCCACCCCTCAACGCTCTTAGATTCCTTTTATTTTTTATTTTTGTCATATTTTATTTATTCACTTGACTGTTTTAATTTAATTTCTCATCATGGACGTCTAAATAGCGTTTCAAAGCCTGCTGAAGCCTTTAGTGTGGGTTCAGCTAAAGTTCTGCTGAAAAGTTAAATTTACATGCTTCTGTGAAGTTTTGAAGGGAATTGATTATTGTTTAAATATTACACCTGACACATTTGAACTCAACAAGACCCCCCTCCAACCCCCCCACTGGGGTTTTTAAGGTTTAGTTGGACAATTTATCTGTTAGAGTGGGACACAGATTTACAGTGCTATTTAGAGCAAAGTCAATTTCTGATCTATTTGAGACAATATAAAGGTTTCTTATAACTACTACATTGTTTAAAAAGCACAACTGTGTTTTAATAAATGAGGCCATACTCCAGTCAACACACCTTTCAACATATTGATATAATCACAAAACTAATTAAAACTACATTTTAAATTATGAAACGGATTGGTCATACACATATATACATACAATATACATACTAATTTTTTATTTATATGTATAATATATATATACTTATTCGTTCCTTCATCCAGTCAAAGGCACTGTTTAAATATTTCACTTTGGCCAAACCCACCCTATATTATTTAGTTAGCCTGAAAGTAGCTAACTAAAATAAATAGTGCATTAAATATAATGAGTCTAAAAATACTGGAATCAGCATGTGTATGTTTATGACTGGAGAATGTAAACTCCCCCCAGTGTTGCTAAAACTGAAAAATTCACAAAAAAAGTAAATAAATAAAAAATTAAGAGGACATAACATAACTTCTAACTAACCTCTTTGCAAGAGTCTTGAAATACACATAGAGTTTTTATCCATATTTGTAGATTGTAAGGAGAATAATTTATTTTTGTGTACCGTGACACTTTTTTTTAGATATTAAGTGCTTGAATATCTACTGCTAAAGCAGCCTGTGTTAGGACAGCAAGTTTTAATCAAGTTCCACAAATGATGGTAGTTTAACAGACACTGAATTCTATTTTCAAATAAGTCTGTATTGTAACAATGTTTAAAAAGCACAGATAGTGTTAATACTTTTTGTTTTAAACACGTTGGAATTCCATTATCATGAGATATTATAATTATGCATTTTGCTCGCCTTCATGTTTGCCGTCTTCTTTCTTTCATGATTCAAAATGGGCTGTTTTACTTGAAATAAACCCATCAGCTTGTCATAGAGGGTTTAACTGTGATACACAAAACTGTACAATTGGGTTCATATTTCATTACATACTTCTCATTGTTTCTTATATGTTGTCCTCATAAAAAATGACTATAATGCGTTTTTGTTATATTTTTATGTATATCCCTGTAAACAACACATGAAATATGAAGTAGTTAGTTGCATATGTTGGTCATGTAAGAGTAAAGGCCTATGTTGACCTTTGCTCAAGGCATCAAACACCACAAACAGAAATTAGTAGTAGTACACTAATTGCCACATTAGTACTGCCGCTGCTGTTGTGGTAATACCAGTGGTCACATAGTAGTATTAGTCACAGTAGCACAGTAGTTCTACCAGTGGTAAAATTCGCAGCATTGTATAAAGCAGTATTTATGCTGTTATAGTTGATTTTCCTGCTCACTACAGTCTGTGGGAAACGTGTTAGTGGTTCTACTGATGTAATATTTCCTGTGAGAGCTTTCTAACTTCTATTTCTGAGCTTTAACGAGTTCCACTTCCTGTCCGCTCCAGTTGAAAACGCAAGAGATGCAGATGGCGTAGGACGCTTCCTTTCGTCTAAGACAAACATATTCTATTCTCTTTTAATTATTGCAGCATATAACAGATCAAACAGTGAACAGGTACTTGACCAGTATATATATATATAAATATATGCATAATATACAGTAGCTTTAACCCAATACTTTGCTTTATTTTTACATTCATTTTATTTTCCTTTAATTCCTGAAAAGATAACAGAAGTATAGGCCATACAGAAGCAGTTGTAGTAGTTATAACATTATTATTTATAATCTCAAAAACTGCTTGTCTGTATCCACAAGGTCTGCGATTTCAGTTCTGCCTAATGCATCATATACCTTTCTGTAGACGTCAAGTTCTAGTAGTATTATCAGTATCAGATGCACTGATAGAGCTGCAGTAAATGGCCCCTTGTTGTCTCTGTATTTCTTAGTTTTACATTTAGTAACTACTTTTTGTGTTTCCTTCAGGTTAAATGTCCAAGACAGTGGCTGAAGAGTGGAGTCAGCTCTAAAACATCATATCCGATCAGCTTACCAAGTAGAAATGAGACGTTGGTGGTACTGCACATGCATATGATAGGGTATGGTTATGAAATCATGCTGCAGTTGTTAGGACAGAACAGTGAGTCAGCAACAGATCCATGTCCCTCAACCTGACCATCGCCCTCTTTCATTGCACTCTAAAAGCAATGCTCAGAGTAGCTATGTTGCATGAGAAGCGACCCACTGGGTTTCTGTGTGGAGCTTTGATCAGGAACACATGGCTGAACTTCCTCTGCTGCTGCTGCTGCTATAGCCAGCTGCTCTCTGTTTGTTAGCAGTGGAGAGGAGGAAAAGAAAAGAGAGTGCAGTAAAGGAAAGCAATGCTGACTGTAATTCAGAGGAGAGAAAATAGAGCAGAGTGGGGCCGGCAGGATAAAACAGAAGGAAATAAACAAGGAGAGGAAATGGAAGAAGAGTGGAACGATAGAGAGAATGGTAATAAAGGAAGGAGGGAGTCAGTTCCCGGGCTGCAGGTCTGCAGGCGCCATGTTGAGACAGCAACATTTCTAAAGCGCCACACTGTCTCCTGCCTCATCTCTGTCCTGTCTGCATGCCTCTTTCACTTTCCCATCTGTCTCTCTCTCCCACCTTTACTTTTTACCACGGGGGTAATTGACCAACTCGTTTATTGGTGGTTGGAGGAAGTGGAGGAGGCAGTTGTGTTAGTGGTGTATATTACTTCATAGTGTGGTTTTATGGCTGTCTTATTGCCCCTTATTACCTATTGGTGGTCAACAAAAGACACTCCAAAGGATGGTTTGTGCCTCCTGGAAAGTCATCGTCCTTCCTGTCTGTCTCATTCTCCTTTGATGGTCAGCTTTGTCCCTCGGATGCGCATGGCTGATTCTCAGACACTAAACAGACTTTTTTTTCTGTTTTTCACAGGGATCCTCGACTACGAAACCATCCCCTGAAATTATTCCTAAATTAAATTCTTCTATTCTACTGACCTCGGGCCGTCCCTGCTTCCTCACAGAGCTCTTCGTGAATCAGCTCCAGAGGTTTTCCAAACTTCTTTTCGCATCGGGGTCACACAGTTTGATATTCATTAAGTCAAGCAGAAACCTGGTGCTGAAGGGATTTTACTTGTTAGATATGATTTACTGCTGCAGTCTGACCTCCTGCTGCTGGATCCAGTCACATGCACTCTAATCATTTGATTATAACCAGAGGACGGCAAAACTTCCAGTCTTGCAACTGTCGCATAAAAACCTTAACCGAGTTATTGTACTAGCGTGACGATTCAACTGTAATTTAATTAACATGGATTTGCATTTGTCAATCTTTCATATGACTCCTGGCATATATCAAACAGTCTGCGTTCTTTAGGTGTTCTTATTCTGTGCCACAAGTGTGAACTGAATGCACTGAAGTTTTGGGTGGTTACAGTGAAACTGATAAAAATTATCTGACATTGCAAGTAATAGAGTTTGTGCTAATGTGTTCTGTAAAGTCATAAACTAGAAACAATAAAATGCAACAAAATTCCCTCATTTCCTCCCATGTTCTTGTGTCTACAGCCTGACTACTCAATATCCTTACAGATATTAAAGGCAAACTGCATTATTACAACTATCTTATTTTCATCAGTTAAATCACGTATAAAATAAATAATAATAAATTATGATATTGTACTCACTAAGTTAATTGCTGCAATGTCGGAACACAACAACATCGCTAAGAAGAAGTCCAATGGGGCAAGAAACATGTGATCAGACAGTTTAGACACATTATCTGGATAGAGGCATAACGTCAATGAAATATCTCATTGCTCTCAAGATAATTCATAATCATACCTGCAAATTAGTGTAACATGTAAGTGCCTTCAATCTTTGTATTGCACTGCCATGTTTAACAAAATTAATTGTTTGAGAATAATAATGAGTTTTGAGACTGTCCTCACAACAAGTATTAATCATTTGTTCAAACACATAAAATGGGATGTTGTTACAGCACCACAAACCATCTTTGGTTGGGGTGGGTGGTTGGGTGTACAAAGCATGTGACTTTAAGTAGATCACTGTAGGTGTCCTGCTCCCTTACTGTCAACATTAGTTTATTTTAACCATGACGACAATCTTTCCCTACACTTAAACGAAATGTTTAACTTTCGCTTTCTCAGTTAGAGACTGCTGAGAGGTTTGACACTCTCTCAGGTGTACGATAAATACGAAGCCACCGCCAACACATGCATAGCTTAGCTTAGCTCAAAGACTGGAATTGGGAGGAAACTACTAGCCTGGCTCATTCCATAGGTAACAAAACCCACCTATCAGCACCTCTAAAGCTCACTCAATACCATATAATACTGTATATGTTTAATCCTCACAAAAACTGAAGTGTAAAAACAACATCTTGTGGTTTTATACACGGTTATGTGCCAAACTTGGTCTTGGCCGGGACCAGTAACTCCCTGGAGTCTCCGCTGGACTCCAGGAAGTTACTGCATCTGGCCCAGAAGTATAGTCCAGCACACAACCGCTATAGATTTGCCTTACAAAGAAAAGAAAAGGAAAGGTGGGGTGCCCCACTGGGTAGAGCACGCGCCCTATGTACTAAGGCGGAGTACTCGCTGCAGCAGCCCGGGTATAATTCTCCTCTCTCTTTCTCCCCTCATTTTCCTTTCTATCTTCAGCTGTCACTTTCTAAATAAAGGTATACAGAGCATATTCCCCCAATTGTCCAACTATTCCTGTAACCAAGTAGTGCTTTGCCCCAAAACTTAACCAAAACTTAAGAAAACAGTCATTTGTAATGTTTTTAGAAGGCAATGACAATGTCATCATGACCCTATCACCAGACAAGAATGTAAATATTGGATGATTCAGCAAAACCCTGAAATATGTCCAATGCCAACATTTTGGAAAAGTTCACTTTCTACAACAGGGTTAATATAAGGGGAAGAATACTGTAGTTATGTGAAAGAAAGGACTCTTATGGCATAATTCAATTAGGCAAATAAAACTGAGATTGTTGTTATGGTTAATTAAAAGGGTAAAATTAATTGAAAGTCTGTGATGGGAGGCAATCTCCAGTCTCCTGCATGAAGGTCAGACATGCACTTTCCACATTGCTACATAAAGGACACATTGCTTCTTGCGTTGGCACTGATGAATGTTGGCACTGGATGTAAATCAAGAGGTGCGTAATCGTTCAGGGATGTCACTCCTAAGGATACTCGGCTGATGATAGCAGCGTCCAATCAGAAAATGCTAACGTAGATCCTCTTGAAAGGCAATGACAATGCATTTTGAAGACTTGATGTTTTAGTGTCATGTACTTCAGAGACTGATCAAAATGTGGAGTTTTCTATTTCAGATTGTTTGTACCTACTGTTGTCTACTTGTTGGAGAGTGTTGAGCTTTGTTAACCCGGTGTGAAATCCCAGAATTAGTAGGAGTGTTTCTCCCTGCAGTTTCAGTCATGCAAGTAGAGTCACTGGATACATACAGGAGCTATGTGATGTAGGTAGTTTCAAGTTGTTGGGCTGGATGCTTGAGATCACAGGAACCTGAAACTGCCTGAATCACACTAGTCTCAACCGCATACAGCTGCATGCCGACAGACAGCAGAGGAGGGAAACCAAGCACACCCAGCACTTAACCCAACCCAACACAACTTCGATCATCTGTGTACTGTTAAATCCTACTAAATGGACAATCTGATGGATAAAACAAAGTGCAGCCTTTTCAGATTGGTTGCTTTTGCAGAAAGCCCCATGTGAATGCAGAACACATGTTCTTTGAATCTGAAATTGAAAATGGACACATGGTGGTTTTCCCATGTGTTGCTGCATCAGAAGCCTCAAATATTGTCTTCATTTGCAGCAAGGTGCTTCCAAATGTCTTTGTTTTTCTCTGTGCAAGCCCTTTTCATTGGTTGATATTATTTAATGTATTTAATGTAAAAATAAAGTTATTTTTTATCAGAATGTTCGAATGTGGAATAATTATTGTTATTCACAAGGTATAGATGGAAATAGAAGCAATACAATGTGAAAAATATTGTTATATTATTTTTGGGATAAAATTTATATGACCCCAAATCACAGATCACAATTAGCCTTAGAGGGCTTTACAATCTGTACAGCATGCACCTTCTGTCCTGCACTGGGGGATTCAGGAGGGATGAGCTGTTTCACCATAAATACATCACAACCTTCTGCACTCTTAGCCTCACCCCTGCCACTCAAACAGCCACTTTATTCTTAAATATTTTTAAATTAGCTTCTTCTTTTAGCTCCCCATTAACTTCCACAAAGTGGTCGCTAGTGGGGGTCCTCTACTGTCCCTAGACCCTCAATTTCGGTAAAGAGAAAAAAAAACAACCTTTTAACAGGTATACATATTCAGACATATTAATAAGGGCCACAAAGGAGGGAAAAGTGTACTGACACATGAAGATTACAAAATATATGCAAAGAAAAAAAAATCTGCATCTTTGATTTTCTAGTTGATAGTGTCATATTTTAAGTCGAGGGCCACTGACCAGACAGTAATATTTGACAAGTTGGGAGTGAGTTGCTTAACTCACTAACAACCAACTATATGAGGACTTGTTGATAAAGTCTTGTATCAAAGTTAGTTATCCAGTCTGTAGTAAACTACAGAAGCTGACAGCAGTCAACCGCTGCCATGGGAACTGCCCTAACATGGTTGCATCTCCCTACATTTTTAATAGCTGCTCCGTCATTGTAGTCTAGTAGTTTACACAGGAGTATGGGCAATTCCAGGATTCAAAGACTGTGTCCACCCACACAGATGTTTCAACCTCTGCGCAGGCCAAAGTGAGTCATAGCTCTGGGGTCATCAAGCTCTCTGGCTCATAGCAAAAGCAGGTGCAACACAACCTGAGACACTTGTGTAACACCTGTGTAAATGTGCAGTGCTTGGCAATGGTGAAGACTTTAGTTTGGCATTGGCCATGGCTATGGCTAAAGTCTGGCCACCCCATTTGCCACCCCACACAGCACCATATTACTGGTTGCATATCTTTTACTTGGCACTAATGTCAGTGAAAAGGAGCATTCTCTCTCCTTCTATTTAAATTTTTTGAGACAATGAATTCACATGTCATAACATTGTAACTTTACACTGCTTATCAATAAACACAGGTCCATGACTCATTTTGGGTCCCTGAGTGAGTGAAAACACTTTTATAGAAGTTATATCCATATTTGTCCGGAGGAGTACATTTAGTATCTTGACCTGCATAAGTCAAAAACCAATGATTGCTGCAAAATAACAACATAGTCCTTTGAGGCAACTGGCAAGAGGAACTGCTTTACCAATTACTTCCAGAATAGCTTTGGACGTTCCCATTAACAGTGCATTAATGTACCCTTTATCTTAGATTCAAATTACGAAATACCTTCAGCAAACTTTCTGGCTTAAGTTTGCATGTTCTGAGCTTGCAGGGTTATGCATATTTATAATTTGGTTTCACTCAGGATTTGTCTCTAAAATAAAATTTTGGTCATCAAAAAGGTGTGTGTGCGTGTGAGAGGGAGAGGCGAGGGGTCAGATAGAATTGGCCTTCCCTGTTCCTCCTCGTGCACCCTGTGATGATGAACGCTGGCCGAGTTCATTTTCAAACATAATATGTTTTATGAAGTTCAGCGTGCCGCCATGAAGCTGTAAATCTCCTCTCTCTCTTTCTCTCCGGTGTCAGTGGCGGAGGGTTTCTGTGTAATTTGCAGCGCGTTTAATAGCACATTAACATTTAGCAGCCACAGTTCACTGTCTGGCTGCATTCTGGCGCCTGTATAGCAGCCTGTACAAGCTCCCCATTCTCTCAACATCACATCAAACACAGGATGTAGATTGTTGTTGACATCCAGACTGTAAATGAAGCAGTTCACTGTAAAAACCCATGGGGCATTTTATTGAAATCCACTTACGTTTAATCATACTTCAATGAACGCAGATTTTTTTTGTTCGTTTCAATATGGTCACGAGTTCCCGCTTCACTTAAATCCATGAAATGGATCAATCATCGTATCATTTATCATCATATTTGAATGTACTGAGACGTTTAAAAATATTGTAATATCATTAGCACGCTCCCTATGGTTATTGCTTCGGTTAACTGTCTATAGTTTCGTTTAGTTGCATACATACCAAACAAAAACATTTAAAAAATAAAGGCATATAAAATGATTAATCTCATACAAATTGGATGTAGGAGTAGTTATGGTGGCCATCCACATGTAATAACCAATGCTTGCAACCCTTTTTTGTACATAGTTCAAAACTTTAGTGACACATGCAAGTTGGGACCGTGCTTGGTCCATTTTCAAACAGGAAAAAATGGCGGCCGGTCACAAACATTCTCAAAATAAAGCTCAACCGTAGTGCTGCCCCCTAATAGTTGATTAATCGTTAGTCGATGAGAGGAGTCTTAGTCGACACACTTTTCATCAGTCCGATAGTCGCTTTATTTTGTCGATAAACAAAAACAACATCAAAATTCATTGGGGAGCTTTGCTTTGTAACTGGGACTTAAGTATCATTGCAACAAGGACCTTTTCTCTTGTAACACAGGAAGTAACTTACTAGGAGCAGGGGACTTGCCGGCGACTACTGCCAGGAAGCGGGACGAAACGAGCAACAGAACTGGAGCTGGATGAGCATGCAATGGAGGCCAGCTGATTTACAGCTGCTCCAACTGTAGATGGTGAAGACACAGCAGGTACAGGAGAAGAGTGTGTTTGCTGCGAGTTGATTTTTAAGTAACTGTTAACTTTATACACTATATCAATAAATCTGCCCATATTTCTTTCTGTGAAGCTAGAAGTTTTTTATTCTGTGATTTGAACAGCATGACTTGTGTGATTTTATACTGTGATGAAATAAATGAACTAAATGTTCAGTCTCCTTGCTGGTTATTCCGACACATTCAGATTCATTACTACTTTTCTGTTATCATTGAACAGGTGGCTGGTAAAACATACATATTTAAATTATTTAATTGATATCATAAACGTGCAACAACTAGTCAAGTATTGACTTTATCTGGGTAGTTATCCCTATAAAGTGCCTTTGAGATAGTCACAATTTCTAAAAAGCTGAGAACTTCCCTTTAACTTCAAATTCATTGCATTAAGGCTAGGCTGTCAGAAATTGCTGAAGCTCCTGCACTTTTTATAAATGAACTGCAAGCAGAAAATTAGTCTATCCTGTCATGGACAAAGTCATGGTAGAGTAAATACATTTTAATTGCATAGTGATTATAAAATGTACATTTTCAGAAAAATATTTAGTCCCTTTCTAAACAATATATTTAAATATTGTTGTTTATAATATATATGTTCTAATAACTGCTAGTCAACTAGGAAAATCTTTAGTCTTTGACAGCCTTACTAGACATTAAAATGTGTTTCAGCAAACATTTGAGGTGGGAAAGACAATGCAGTAACAGAATCTTGATTTACATCAGCACTGCCTAGTCTGACAGTCTAGTTTTGTGAGCCTCAGTTTTGCCCTGGACAGACCTTCAGACTGGACACAACAACCAGTCAGAGCAATGAAACGTTTGATGTGTGACTTTTCACCGGGCTAGTGACACTTCTCTGTCAGTCATCGTATAAAACTCACCCAGTATTACATAAACCGTTGTGATCAGTCCGACCAGGTCATAGACGGCATCTGCCAGAGCAAATAAAACATCATGAGCCAGGCCGGTTCATCTGGTCCCCAGGCTGGTGGACTTGTACACAGTCTGTTAATACAGTCATATAATATCTTTTGTGGCTTTGGAAGACATTTGTAAGGTCTGAGAAAATAACCTAGATGAGGTCATAGTGATGTCATTCGGGTTATCTCAGTTTGGGTTTGAAGACAAAAAAAATTCACAATCAAAAGAAATGAAAGAATACTAATACCTAAACTGGAACAGTGAAGATAGAAAGATATGGACATTTAGTAGGCTATCTAATGAAAGACGCTATTAAGTTGCATTATGGGAAATGTAGGATCCAGTCATTTGGAGCTTGACCCATACTAGGGACTATCTCAATCTCTGCTTCGAAGAGTTTTAAAGTTGGTCTGAGTCTCCCACACATTTCACTTTACTCATTCCCAGGTCGTCTGAAGTTCAATAACAAACCGCTGCAGTACCCCTTAAAATAAAGTCATCAGTGACAAGTGGGGAGAAGCAAAGAAGAAATCCCTTAATTAAAAAATCTCTATTACAACAAAAGACTGCATTTAAAATTTGACTGAAATGAAAGTACATAAGTGTTAGCTAACTGTATGTCTGTATTTAATTATATGTCATCATTGGGATGATTATATTTACGTAATGGCAGCTTGTGCGTGGTTCATAATTTGAAACATCACAATCTGCAGCTGCACTGACTGCACACATCGCGTTGTTGATTATTGACTCATTGGTCTGTGGGACCCAAAACCCGATCACTTCTTCCCCCACTTCCTTCAGATAATCAATACACCATACAACTTCTGATAACAGCACGGACATTAATTTGCTTAAATCCCTGAGCTCACCCTGCCTTTATTGGGGACCGGGGTCTATTTGGGACAGGCCTTTAATTCCTTTAGCAATGACAACTCTGTGTCACTCTCTGAATGTAACAATAACAAAGCATGGACCCATATGCAGAGAGCATGCTAGAACCTTATACTCCTTTTCTAAGTGTCACATCATCATTATATAGATGGTTTCATTGTTAATGGTGCCTCAATGTGTAAGCGACATTCTAATGTTGTTAATGCTGGTCAAGCTGGTACCAATTTTAAACACTTCAGATACAATTAGGAAGTTTGAATTACAACAAAGCATCATATTTCATAAGCTCATCAATTGTTTTGTATGTAAAACTTGAATCTGCAGAGCAAGTGTAGCTGTCAGATGTCACAGGTATTATCATGGGATAGTGTATAAATGGCCCACTATTTCGGTGTCATGTCT